TCAGGAGAGGTCTGGCTCGCCATGTGGTCTCCTCCGGGGCAGGCGGCAGGCGGGAATCGAACTCATGCGGAAGCGGCTTCAGATTCTCAGTGCTGTGCTTTAACCCGCTGCGCCACCAGGGAGAGCCTCATTTATATTTTTAATGATGACTTGACACTCGTGCTTCAAAAGACTGGCAAGAAATTCAATATTGAACATTTTTAGAGTTTTTCTCCTCAAAATTCTCTGGAGTTATTGGAATACCTAAAGACTTTCTGGATTCCTGGAAAATGAGTGAAAGGACCTCACGCGTAAGTTCAGTCCGTGGTGATCATCACTTCTGTCCCTCTTTCTATACCCTTTTTCAAGGCAGATGACTCCCCTGTTCCTGTGCCAGGTTAGCCTGAGCCTCTGACCCAGGGTGGAGTCTCCATGTTCAAGATTTTCCTCATGTGGAGATTCCAAAAAAGTGTTTCCTTTCCTTTAGTTTGCATAGTTAGCACTGAGATTTATTCTCTGACATGATCAGGGGTAAGATAATTAAAAAAGGTGATGAAATGCTTATCTTGGCCATGGCATTTTTAGAAAAAAACAGAAGTTTATGTTCATTTACCAATCTTCCCAAAGTTCAAGGCCTTTTCTTTGAATATAAACATTCTGTTTAAAATTGTGATTATCTTTTTCAAAAAGATTCCCACCCATCAGGTTTGCCTTTAACTACTAGGAACTTGAAGACATTATATAAGCACTCTGAGGAAAGAATTTTCTATTCTTTTAAAATTTCACCCCAATATGTTGCACCATCTCACCTCTTTAAAGACAGGTTTAACTAATTACCATTCCTTACTTTTCAAAATATTCAATTGAATTTTCATAGAAAGAATGTTTCTTATTTTCTCATTTCATATAATTCAGTAATTGCATCACCTTGATATCCAGTACGAGGCACTAATAGATTGCTCTTTTCCTGATAATTGTATATATTTTTCTTATCCCAGGATTTCCCAAACTTCTTCTCTATAGTTACCTCTTTAATAATATTTCTCTTTGACTGAACTAATTTTATTTATTGTAGAAAGTTCATATCACTCTTCTACATGGCAAAAAAAAAAAAGCCCTTATTAAACATATGTGCACCATGAAAATCAACAAAAACATTCAATGAGTGATGTCGCCATGGTAACTCTCTGGTAATGCTAGCCTGCAGCATGCTCTTAAGGGTTGAAGAAGAATGGAAAGCAGTAAGTTTCTCATTGTGTGGCAAGTACTATCATATCCATGTACCATCTAAAATAATCTCCATTATCACCTGACACCATCCTGAGCAGCAGCCCCTCCGCATTTTGGAAAGTGGTGTCTTTCTCTTGGGAAATGAGAAGCAGCTAAAAAAATGAGTCTTACTCTTCTTCATGCACTTTGTGTAAGAATCTCTTTCTCAGGTGTCTGAGACACCCCATCCTTCTTTGGGACACCAAAGTGCTTCATGAGCCACCATGTCACATGATGGGAAGAAACAAGCAGGTAGTTCCACAGCATTAGCAAAGAATTGATCAGTCTCCTCTGATACATCAAGATAGAAGGTTCATCAGACCCCTGGTCTTAGGATGGAGAATGGGTGTTTATCCTGAAGCTCATGTGTACGTATCTGGGAGTGCAGGGAGTGTATATGGAGAAGGGGGCATAAGAGGGAAATTATGGGGTGTTCTGAACTGCTGTAATTCATAAAGCTCTGCTCCTGAAGTTCTCTGGTGCTCTGGAAATTGGGTTGTGCATTTTCCTGTGTCAGATCAGTGTTTCTAAAACAGGAAAAGACTTTGGAGATCATCTTCTGCCTTACCTCCCAGTACTTTGATCTCCTTTAGTGGAAGAGGAAACCAAGACCCAGAGAGAACAGGTGTCCTGCCTTTGGTCACTCTGCCTGTGACTGCCAAGTGGAGGAGAATCCAGACGCTTGCCACAGAAACCCATCAAGTGGCCGAGTGGCCTTGTTCACTGATATCTTCTTCCTTTTCCAGGCTGTGCTGAGTCCTCTCATAGCCATCGCGCTGAAAATATCCCAGATTCATGAGAGAACTGGCCGCAGGGGCCCCACTGTCATCACCTGAGCTGAGGGAAGCTCACTCGCCAGGGCCCAGCGAGCTCCGCGGAGACATATCACCACGCCTTCATGCTACCTGTTTGTGCCTCTTACGACATCAAAAAAAAAAAAAAAAAAAAAGATAATTTGCTAGTGGGGGTTGGGAGGGGGGAATAAAGAAATCTGTTTTGTTCGGGTTCAGGTCAGTTCCTCCCAATGCAACAGGGTCTTCAGTTGTCTCTTAAAGCTGCACTGTTTCACACACCAAGGAACCTATCCTTTTGAGAAGGAATAAGTGGGCCTGTACTCTAAGTTGTTGTGTCTATGCATTATTGGTGCCAGGTGAGGAAAAGTTCTAACATCATAGAGGAAAGACAAGTGTCAAAATTAAGCTGACCCTTGGCCATAGGACGCCTGGGCACATCGAAGTTACTCTTCAGCACGGAGGAGGATTTCGCTTTTCCTTCCAGGCCAGGTCTTGCTTGAGGGCAAGTTGTGGAACTCCTAATAGTGCATGCACCTCATGCCCGCTAATCACATGGTGACCCACTCTACCCCTGCCCACGCCCAGGCCCCTCACATCTTCTAAAGCTTCCTACAACTCACAACAACACACTTTCTACAAAAAGCATCAGAGGGTGTTTTGTCTTTATTTGTGTACATAATGTTCTTTTGGCTGTTAGCAAGCTGCCTTTCTCCACATTCAGCCATTCACGATGCAGGTGGGAAGCAGTAGTTGGCAAGACTCTGAAAGGAATGCTGACCATTTGTTGGGCCCTTTCTTAATTATATTACGAGAATTGCTTCTTGAAAAGGCAAAATGCTACCTTGTCTGCTCTCTTTCTCTCTCTGACTTTTCTTGCTACCTTATCTCCTAACAAAGGCCTACTTTAATGCACTTGTTTGGACACAGTTCAGATCTTAACATGGCTGCAAAACCCAAATGAAATGCTTGTAAAAGTAGGGAAGGAAGTGGGTGCTGGAAGAAAACCTCACTGGTGGTACAGTTAGGAGACTGAGGAGTTGGAGGAGGATGTGACCCCTGCTATAAAGCGGAGGTTACAACTGGCGTTCTGTGCCAGGGAGAGGATATTGCAGTGCTAGCAGCCTCGTCTGCACTCAGCCAAAACACTCGGTGCATGGGACCTGTTTGCATGTTTTGCTTCCTTGGGAACGGCACTGTCATTTACTGTGTCATTGTGCAGATGACATGATGTGCTGTGATGGTTAAGCAATACCTTATTGCTGTAGTCAAGCGTAGTGCAAGCAGGGAAACATTCCCAAGAAGATACTCGTTTCCATTTCCTATCTATGCTTCTGTCAGAAAGTTGCTAGGACATTTAGTAACCAATAAAAAGGATTCCTATTTCAACCTTTTGCAAGGATCATGAGTTTTTACTTATTTGTTTGTTTCGTCAGTTGGGAAACTCCAGCAGCAGTCATTATTTCAATAAGTCTGCTTTCAGTGCACTTGCAAGGGCTGGTGTTCATTATTATGACTTTGGGAATTTATTGAACAAATGGAACAGAAAAGGCAAATTGCTCACAAGTGTCTGTGGATGTCAGCAGAAACTAAAATAGCATCTAGTTTTTCATCACAAGTACCTTCCTTTTAAAATAATAGGAAAATGGCTTTAAACTGAGATCCTAAAGAACAGGTCATGAAATTTATCAACAGGGGTGCCTGCCCACCTAGTACTATACAGGCCTCTCTTTTTCTTTCTCCTTTTCCTAATAAGCCTGTCATTTTAAAATGTGAAAGAGGGAGCGGGGAAGGGAGGAACTTCTCAACAGTGGAGTTCGATTTGGCTTTGGCTTACACGTTGCAGGTCTACAGGATCTTCCCTTTCAGGTGCTGTCACCACACCACACCCGTCACCAAAGTGCCCATAGCCCATCTGCTCGCCCCTACTTTGTTCGCTCCCTCCAGTTTCACAGTCAGGTTTCTAGGGATTGTTAGTGGTTTGGTGCTACCTGACCCTTTATTTTGTTTGTTTCTGTTCCATATATATGTGACACCATCTGGCTTTTTCCTTTCTCCTTCTGATATTTCTTTTAGCATAATCCCCTTCAGTTCCGTCCATGTGTCTCAAATGGTAAGAGTTCGTCTTTTTAATAGCCGAGTAGTATGCCATGGTGTGTGCGTGTATCACATCTTATTCTCTTGTTCCGCTGTTGTGTGAATGAATACTTAGGTTGTTCCTATAACTTGGCTATTCTAAATACTGCTGCGCAGACATGAACGTACCCCTTCCAAGTCGTGTTTTTGTGTTCTTTGGGTAGAAGCCTAGGAGTGTTGACAGATATAGATGACAGATGACAGATATATCTTTAATATTTTCAGAAATGTTCTTATCATCCTTAATGTCAGCCATTCACTCACCACCCAGTTCTGTTGATCAACACAATTACATGCGTTCTTAGACTTCTTCAGTTCTAGTCCTTTTTTCTCAAGTATGTGATATTTTTACATATCCAAATTTGAAATTCAGCCGCCACTTTTATAGTTTGGTTTATTTCAGCAGAGTCCAGTGTGTCCAGCAGCCCAAATACATATTCATCCATCCATCGATTTAGTAAACACTGGTTGAACACCTAACCCATACAGACTCCTGATAATGATGTGGTGACTTCCGTTTGGCTTGCTGTGGCCAGTGTAAGGCACGGGATTTATTTTGGCAGCCATATCCACTAGCCATGCCAGGTGACAGTTGTGGAAAAATTGAAAAGCACCTGGGAAAACTGGTAGTGACATAGGCATGCACCCCTTTTGTTGCTGGATCACACACCAGTACTCCTGAAGCATGTGGACACAGATGTCCCTGACACCCATCTGGAGATTTCCTTTCCTGTGTGGAAAAGGGTCTATGACTTTGTGCACCTTTGGAAATGATGTCACTGCCTATCCATCAGTCTCTGACCCATTAACAGTTACAAGTGGCAAGAGGTTATCTAAGGCAGCAGAGCTTAGCAGAATGTCTGCTCCACTGCCACCAGCTGGAGGCCTTCTCTCTGGGTATGGCTCATGCGGTGCCCTCCCATAGCATGGGAATCTGCCAAGGTTGACATGGAACATTACAGAACACCAGGAAGGTGTATGCATTATCAACACATGCGCTTAGTCTTCAAACACCTGGGTATCCTCAGTAAGTGAGCTGGAGATACGCCTCACCAAAGACCATGCTGTTTAAGTAGGACCTTGAAGGATGAAAAAATTGTCAGTAAAAACACTTGAGAGTTTTTTTCGTGGGAGGATCAAAATTTTGCACAAGAGATCTCAGATATGCAAAGGTGCATGATCTATTAGATAGCTGGCCTTGTCAGGCTCATCTTCTGGGGACTGGAAATGGGTATTTACATGTGTTTCTCTGAGGGGCATTATAAGGTTAAAATACTGTATTGCCCATACATAAAGTAATTCATCTGGCCATCTGAGTTATATAGTCTCCAGAAAGGGGGCAATACTTTTGGAAGGGAAAAGCAGAACAAAAGGATTTGCAAATGAAAAAGGGAACATTGCAAGAAGTCTGAGACCTTCTTCCCCATTGGCATTACCACTGGGCCAAAGACATGTTGCCCCAAGATGTGCCTAAGTGGCATGCAGGTAATTTTGAAATGAAAAAAATTAGAGACCAATGGAGAGAATGACTTTTTTTTTTTTTAACCTATCTCCCTAAAGTCAGGAAATAAGTCTTTCATCTGGTGTTCCTGGGCTGAAAGACAGATTTACCTCTCCAGAGTGAATCTCCATCTCACAAGGTCTGTTTTCCACACCTTTGTAGACAAACCCTGCAACTTCCTTTTTCTTTCAATTGCAAGTTCTTTGTTCTGCTTTGTCCCTCCCGAAAGTATTTCCCCCTTTCTGGAGACTATATAACCTCTCTCGATGGGATGAGAGGTTTCCTTATTTTATGTATTGGCCTCCCAGAGCATGTAATTAGTATTTGTCTTTTCTCTTGCTAATCTCTTATAATTGTTTCCCAGCCACATGGACAGAAGACTGGAGGGGAAGATTAGCTGATTAGCTTCTTCCCCAGCACTGCATTCATATTTGGGGGCTGGAAGAGGGGTGTAGGGGGAGGCGGGTATGTGCACAGGCTCTGCAGTGGGTTTGCCTCTCTTGCACTTCCTGTTAGTCCAGGTGCCTCCCTGGCAGGCAAGGGCTCGTGGGTTCCACTTTATCACCTTGAACTTTATCATAAAGAGTACAAGGGGATTCAATGTCTACTTTCCCTGAGTGAGCCCACCAGAAGCACTCAATGAATTATTATTCATTCATTGACAAGGACTTTAGTCTGACTGACCCAGTAGTTATTAATGGCTAGACCTCTCAAATGTAGGGTTTGTTTTGGGGTCATCCCCATGTTCTTGATACTTATATATAAATACATATACAAACATATGTATAAACAAAATACATTTTTTTCAAGAGCAATTAAGGCCTATCATAGGCATTTAATCTTTTAAAAAAGCACTCACTTATGAATCATGAGTTGATATTTTATAATGTTTAGGGTTGCAAAAAACAAAAACAAATTCAGCTGGAGATTATAATAGATCTACATAGAGAATAAAACTGACAAATTTCTTTTTCTGTTTATTTTTTTCACTACTACAAAACATTGGCTATTAAAAGGATGGGGGTGTTTAAATACAAAATTTATTGCCATAAAGGAATTAAAACAATTCTTTAATGTAAAGCAAAATTAACATTTGTTTCACATAACTACTAGTAATTGGAAACACCATCTATTACAATTCAAGTTCTGGATGGAAGCCCAGTGATAGAGCTTGTTCAGTCAGTGAATGCGCTCAGAGTCCAGGGAAAAGTTCAAGATAACCATCTAGTGGAAGGGTGCAAAGAGACCCCGAGAGAGGAATAATAAATTGCACTGCTACTAAAGGATTGTCCTCCTGTTGGGCAAACATGCATGACCTTCATATTCATTTATGCCCTCGAGTCAGGGATCCTAATTACTGATTCCCAAATTCATGCTTAGTGTGAAGGGACCAGGATTTACTTTTATGTGGCTTCCTAGAAGGACATGCTTAATCTGTAAACTCAGCAGTAAGGAGGAGGCATAGACCACGGAGCCACAGCCCACTCCTTACAAACTTCTTCCTCTTTGAAAGATCTGCATTGCTCTTGCCACTGTCCAAAGCCCATGTCAGCCACCAGTGGCTGGCTGTTATCACTATGACCCTTTCACGATCAGTGTAATGATCAGATGGAGGACCTGAGGCCCTGAGGTCAGGGCCAAGCTCTGAGAGAAGACACGGAAGGCTGACACATTTTCAAAGAGAAGCCCATCAACACACAAGACATCCCAATAGTCCGTCAAGGGTTTGAAGCTTTTGCAGCAACCCTGGGGCACCACATCCAATTAGGGCCTCTTTCCCAAGGGGGAGAGAAATCCCAACTGTTTCCTGGGAGGAAGGAAGTAAGAAAGGACTAGTCTAGCACGAAAGTTCAAAGTAACTACCTTTCCCCAAGTCCCTCCTGCCATGCTCCTGGAAATAACTGTGTGTTGCAATTGGAAAGGTTTCTTACCTTTTCAAAGTTTCAGTTTATGATTGTAAAATGGGAATTATTGCTGAATGTTATAATGAGGGCTGATATGTTTGCAGCACAGAATATACCACATAAAAGTCTTTTCATAATTATTAGATACTAATTCCAACATTAAATTCGCACTTGGTGGAGGAGGAAACTAAGACCCAGAGAAGGTAAAGTTTCTTGTCCAAGATCAACAGCTTCAGGTTGCTTCTCCTTCTATCTTCCTGCCCCTTGACTTGCCTCCTGGCTTTAAGACATGTCATAAGGTACAATAAAGCTGAAGAAGAAAAAACTGGGCTTAAAAATAAGTACCCCAAATTGTGACATAAGGCACTTCTGGAGGGGATTTGAATGGGAGGAGAAAGCCTCTATGTGAGCCCGAGTTCTTCCTACATGTTCAAAGGCCGAGTTTCACCTGGGTTGGGACTGACACAGATCCTTTAAAGTATGTGCTGGTTGCCGGCCACAGCCTTCCAGGGCTCCCCTCATCCACCCTCCCCCCCACCTCCAGCAGGCCAAGCCCATCTGAACCGCACTGTCCACACAGCATCCCCTGAGTGCTCACAGAGTCATTGGCTTGGGCTTCCTGCCCCAGCCCTGGCCTGTGTTTATTATTAACAGCCTGTTCTGGGAGGCTGGTCTGGAGTGCCAGGAGCTTCCTGCTTCAGCATTCATGGCCTTGCCTCTCAGCATCCTGCTGTGCCATTGCTGCCGCCACCCTGGCTGCTACAGACTCTTCATAGGACGGCGGAGCCTCTGGGCGGGCATCATGCTCATCTTTGAATTCAAGGCCCATCTCCGTGTACAGAGGAGGGGGGACATCTGCAGTCACTGTTCCTGTAGGATAGGTCTGCTTTTCGATAGGAAGACTCTCTTCATAAGCAGGAGGGTAGAAGTCTGGTCTGGGGGACAAAATGCCACAGACATACATATTTTATTTCATGGTTAATCGAGGAACAGATGTCTGCCTCTGTCCAATACCTCATGCAGAGTTAAATGGTTATGAAACGTTGATTTTGGAATGGATGCACTTCTTCCCCGGTACTACTAGTTTTAAAAGACGTGCTGCTCTTCTGGCGGAACCCTCTGTCACTCATGGGATTTGTGCCCCTGTGGCTTTGTCTGCTTGGCTAATTCAAGTATCCCCTCTGTCCTACTAAGTAAAGCAAGGACTTTCAGTGTGTCACACTTATCAGGAGCAGAGAACTGGGGACCTTGATTGTGCAACTTCTCTGAACCCAGTTATTTAGTCAGTCACATCTTGCCCTCATTCACACCCAGCATCTACTCAATAGCACTCACTGTTGATTCCTCACAGCCAGCAAAATAATGAATGAAAACCAACTGCATATAAATTCCTGAACTGTATCAGAGTCTCCTTTCTCCCTCACCAGTCTTTCAAATCTCAAAAGCTAGTTTCCAAAAATATATACTCATTTCTCAGATTCAGCTGACAACTTTATGTAGATTTCAGTTGCAGCCCTTTTTCATGCCAACAGGCCAATAGCTGAAGGAGCCATTCACTCCAGAGCTGATGCACGCATTGGCAATCTTACCCAATGTTGCTAATTGCTAAATCCTTCTGGCTTCTCCTTCATGAATGGAATTGGGGGTGGGGTGGCAGCGAGGAAGAGAGAGGGTGAGTTTGGTTGAGTGTATATTTATAGAGCGAATCCTTCCAGGGCCCACAGGGACTGTTTATGGTATGTAACCACAACAGAACAGGGACTGCCATTTGTAGCTGCAGCTCCATTCCAAATGTTACCAGGCCCAAAGCCAAATCGCTGAAGGAGCTCTCTACTGTACAGCATAATCTCAGTCCCACTCAGAATAGCCAAGGCTATGTCATGGGTACATGTATAAAGGCACTGAAGACAGAAAGGTGAGCTGTTGCCTGGAGTGATTCGAGAGACTGGAATGACTGCCATCTGCCCCCAAATTCCATCCACCTCTTCCAGTCCCCACCCGCACACCAATTCACATAACCAGCACCCTGAATTCCACCACTACAAGCCAGTTGCTCTGCTAGCTTCATCTGGGTGCTCATTTTTGGTAAATGCTTCTAAGAAATTGTAAGTTAACATTGATTGACTTATTAAGCATTCTGAGTGGGGTGGACTCAGATATAGATGCTGGAGGAAGACACAGTAGTGTCATGATGCCTATAATTTACTTTAAAATATTTCAGTAAAGACAATGTAATGTTAAAGACATGTTATTGAGCTTAAGTTATATTCTAAAGGTCATCAGTTAATCTCAGGAATTCACACTCTGGAGACAGTCAATCTTATCACATTTATCCCCTGCCCCCAACCCCAACAAAAATTCATTAAGTCCCTGCTTTCAACTGTTTGTCTATATCCCCAGAAGCAAAATTGTTGGATCAGATGGCAATTCTGTTTAGTATTTTGAGAAAACTCCATATCATTTTCTATAGTGGTTGCACTATTTTTAAACAATAGCTACCCTAACTAGTATGAGGTACAGAGGCTAATGAAATCTTACCTCTGGACTATTATTTTCTTGCTTTAAATAAAAACTTCATGCAAAGTGTGATAACAGTTAAAAAGGAAAGTAAAGTGAGACTTCCCCGAACTCATGAGAAGTGTGTAAGATTATTTTTTTATGCCACCCTGTTCATTTTTCATGTGGCAAAATTTGGCCTGGCACTTGGTTTCTTTATATTTTGGTAACCAGGTCATGGGGACTAGCCAGCCACCACCTGTCTCTCAGGATAGCTTCTAAGAAACAGCCAAGGAAACTGAACTAAGTCTTTCAATTGGCTTCTGTAGGTGGCGTGGGGGAAGAGTTCTCTGAAATCAGCCCCTCCTACTTCATGGTGTTCTCCAAAGGTGGCACTATTCTACCTATCAGCTAACCCAAAAGTAACTCCCCTGACAGTAAAGTTGTGGGTATAGACATACAGCCCACAGCACATATAAGTTGCTCCATAGTAGAATTAGAAGTTGTTCGGTTTGTCCAGAACTCAGTCCCAGCTCAACCCTCGTCAGTGCCCTGACTCCTCAGTACATACCTGTCCACGGTGGCCAGAGGCAGGGCTACCCCTTGCACCCGGTGTTGTCTGAGTATATGAGTGAACATCCCTTTGCTTTCACATGCCAGGCGATAGGTGCTCCAGAAAATCCCACTCAGAAGGATCACAAAACCCAAGGGGAGAAGTAAGTAGGCCAGGCTCAGTTTCTCCCAACAATTGAATATCGAACCTGAGGAAATAAAGAAGGCCCCCAGGCAGATTATAAGGAAACCCGTCAGGAGAACAAGGGCACAGAGAACGAGTCCGGCTCTATTCTGCATCCCTGCTCCTTGGAACCCAGTGCCCTGACCCTGCCACTCCCCTGCTTCCCTTGCTTGGAGAGAATGCTCTCATTAGCCAGCTCACAGTTTTATACACTCTGGGATCAACTGGCCTTTGGACAATTAAATGAAGCAGGCACTTAGAAGCTACTCATTAACCATTACAAGTAACCCTAATATCCTTGGAGGATTAACCTAAAATTACAGCCTTCTGGACTGCAGGAAGGAGTGGTTTCTCATAGCTTTCCTGCTCTTCTGAGCTAGATGGGACCCTCAGGTGACAAGGGTCAGCTGATCTTTGTCAGCTGAGGGAAGTTCTCTTATCCTTTGAGTAAAAGGGCACTCTTAATACCCCACAGTGGGTAATTCCCTGCTAATGCTGGAAAATTTGTGCATTTTAAAAAACATTTATTTATTTATGCATATAAGAACTGGGGTACAGCCCAGAGGTACAGAGAGTGAGAGGATTTACCAGAGACAGAGTGGGGAACAGAATAGGCAGATTGAAATACACTGCTGAGGGGAACAATGGCAAGTCATGCCCAGATTCCTGAACCATAGAAACAATGAGATTGAAATGAGTATCCTTAAAATGTTAACTTTTGTGGCAATTTTAAAGGTAGTAGTAGATAGCTAAGATAATTCTACTAGGACCTGGCTACCAGAGAAGATATTCAATGTTTAAGTACTTACATAGTACCTGGCACATAGAAAATGTTCTATCGAAGTTAGCAGCAATCATCTTCACTGTGATGGTTATAATCATGACTACCGTACCTCCAAAATCCTGAGAAAGACACAGGTTTCTCAATCTCAAAGGTTTGCACAGTTTGGTTTTCAAAAAACATAAATGGTAGCACAGAGGCCTGGAGTTACTCTGAAGTATGAGAGCTATATTCCAGGGAAGAGCTGCCCACCCAAAGGGTTTTGCATTTTTGTTTTAGACCAAAACATGGGGCTGAATTAGTCTGTGATATATAGCAGGTCAGTCTTAGTTCCTGAAATCACACAAATAACTGAACAAATGAGTGTCTCTACTTTCCCTCCTCCAGTTCCAATGAAGGATAATCAGTGCTAGTAATTTGTCAAGCAGGTTCTTTATGTCTAAGACCCTTTAAGGGGTCTCCTGACCTTCCAGAGCAGTGACATTTTTGGTGAATTTTTTTGTGAGAAATAGGTTAAGAAAGAGCAAGATCCAAGAGGAAGCATAAGGATGGAAGGACTCAGTTACTTCACATCAAATTTACATAGAATGAAGACAGTGTTCCTGGGTTTAGGCTACCTGAGGAATTTATATGGGGTAAGGTGGGATATCAAGGAAAACGTGTAGGAAAATCTGCAGAATGTAATAAAGGGGAAAAATCAACATGGTGTCTTCATGGTGTTGGAGACATTCTAGTGAAAGATTTCTGTTGAAGTTAATTTTTGCATGTTTGCATTTCTTATGATTAATTATATAACTTATTAGGTGATTGCATTTCTTTTTACTCTGACTGCTTCAGTTCCTAGCCACTTAAATCTCTGCTATTGTGAGCACAATACCCCTTTGATGCCTCAAAAATAAGCACGAATGAAGCCAGCTACTTGTTTAAAAAAATCATATTACTTCTGAGTTCTCTGTTACCTGTGCTGTGGCATGCACCCCTTTTCCCACAGGTTTCACTACCTGTGAAAACATGTTAAAAAGGTGAAACAGGCCCTCCCTGGTGGTGCAGCGGGTTAAAGCACAGCACTGAGAATCTAAAGCCGCTTACGCATGAGTTCGATTCCCGCCTGCACCCGAGGTGACCACATGGTGTGGCAGACCTCTCCTGACCCTCCCGCTGCTCCCCTCAGCAGTGTACTTCGTCAATCTGCCTGTTCTGTTCCCCACTCTGTCTCTGGTGAAGCCTCTC